AGTGTCATTAATTTGATCCTCTTTACACATTGATCTGAATCACTAGTTTTACAACTTCTACCCGATTTTCTCACGAATGACCTTCTTCAGACCAACATAGCTCTTGCTTTTACGCTCAACTTCTGGTGATATAAGGCTGGGTTATTTAACTAGCGGCCCGACGGCCAAATCTGGCCCGCAAATGCCCGGCAATTGGCTCCCGGATCATTGGCAGGTATATTGTATTAATTATCTTGATATGCTGTTGCTTAGGACTCTGCTCCGCGAAGTTTCCTATTTTCAAAATTTCGGCGCTGAATCAGCTTGGTTGACCAGCTCTGATATAAGGGCTGAGAGTTACAACTAGCAGGTCCTGACAGAGTTCCACCTTCCGCATATAGCTTCTGTCTCTAAAGCCTCTCTTTATCGTGTGTTTTGGGTCTCTCACTTTGACCCTCAGAAATTCCACAAGTCTAAAGGTTTCTGTGCGTTCCCATGTCATCTTGAAGAATGTGAAGAACTCTTTACGCACCCAGAGACACACTGGGCACATGATACAAGAGTCATTTTACAAACGATCAATCGGCGCGGTGTACGAGGTCTGGTCCTCATCTCACTATCATCACAACTGTCCTGGTTTGCCCTTACATGTCATTTAGGGCTAGCAGGCTATTCCTCAATTACGTTCTATCTTGTGTAATCAGTTCAATATCATGGACGGAATCCATTCCAGCAGCTTTGGTCTCTTTCATCAACGTTCCTTTTAGGGTTTCCTTTAGGCGTCCTTACTTCATTAATCCCTGTATTTCACTTTTTTAAAAATAAGTTGTGTATCCATTACATGACGTTGCAGAACCAACCCCAGCACTTTATGTCTGATGTGGTTTTTTGAGGCAAATTTACGTTCAGTAGTTTGCCATTTCTTCTAGACGGTCGACTCTCGGACCAAGGTCGAAACCATCGCAAGACAAACCGTCCACAGCAGGGATCTAACCTGGCACCCTGACATTGCGAAGCGCGTTCGCAACGCCTAAGCCAGGTGCATTTAACATTTTAGTGCCTGTTTAGTGATTGCGTGCTTGTTTCGTATCAGGATGTGTCCAAAGTAGCAACATCTTCATTTCTGAATAGGGGTGGGTCTTGCTAGTCACATTCGCTATCGCCTTGGCCTGTGATTTTCATGCATCCCTTTAAAAGAATATAAACAATATTGCCTGACAAGATGAAAGTAATTACATGCACGCAATACTTCGGAAACCTATCAATCGATTGGTTGTTACCCCTTAGCGCTGCTATCGAAACGTTTAAACATCATTAGATTTTTTTTTTCAAGTTTATAAATGTGGATGTCAGATCAGAAGAGCAGATACCCTGTTCATCTTCCAAACAGCTCCGCAAGACTGGTTTAACCTGCAGTTCCGCGATGGTAAGTATGTACTGGGAGCATAGAGACGGCTTCCTTGCTAGCTTGCTTAATTTACTTACTAAATAACACTCAAACTTCCACATAGAATGTCATATTTATGAATAATATATGCATCCGTTACAAGCCACAAAGAAGTTAATGACAGTAATGGCCATTATTAATATAATTTGCTCTGGTTTGCCTGCTAGACAAAAAGAGCGGACAACTTTCTATCGTTTATGGTACAAAATCACATTATCGTGTAACGGTTAATTCTCCTGTACCGTTAATATCCAAAGCCATTATCAGTGTGTGAATAAGTTATTTTGCTTTGGAATATTTACAATATAACTATATCAAACTGGCAAGGGAATAAAAGTACACAGTTCTGCACCTTGACTTGCGAAATTTCCAGACCAAATCGCCAGAATAATGTTCACCCTTTTCCCCCTCCACCAGACCAATTAGCGACCAGCGGACGTGAGGTAGCGTGCATGTATAAAACAGGCGGTGTTTGGTCATGACTAAGGTGGAGCTCGCTGAGGCAGGTAAGTTCTGTAGTAGTTTCATTAGTATTACTTGTGTAACATTGATTGGCTGTCTGTCTGTCTGTCTGTCTGTCTGTCTGTCTGTCTGTCTGTCTGTCTGTCTGTCTGTCTGTCTGTCTGTCTGTCTGTCTGTCTGTCTGTCTGTCTGTCTGTCTGTCTGTCTGTCTGTCTGTCTGTCTGTCTGTCTGTCTGTCTGTCTGTCTGTCTGTCTGTCTGTCTGTCTGTTTTTGCATCACGGGCTGCTTCCTAACGGTTTGATCATCCCTGAGTCCTGGAATCTCATCCATGGTGATAGACCAACAGGACAACCTCAGATAGCTGGTGCAACCTCCAGATAAGTTAACATTTAGCGTGCCCTGAAAGGCTACAGAAGGCTAGTGTAACCTGCAGTCCTGTGCGGTTAAGGACATGAAGCTTACAGCCAAAGTAACGAGTGCTGCTGAAACAGCTGCTGCTACTGCTGTTGCTGTTGCTGCTACTGCTGCTGCTACTGCTACTACTACTGCTGACACTAACAAAAATAACATAAAGACCAGATACTGCAAATACAGTCATCTTTCATACTACTCAAATGACCATTGCTATTAATTATTTTTATTATTATTAGGCACTTCAACTATAAAGTTTATCCTCTGACATAAAAATGGTGCCGGTACTCACCATAAAGTGTCTTAAATAGGTGCCAGAAGTCAGCACAATGTGTCTGTTACAGTAGCACTGACATACATTGTGCATAACAAAGGTGTCAGTACAGAGCACCTTTGCATACAGCCAGAGAAAAAAGTGCTTGTTGTGTCTATACTACTGTAGTAACTACATCTATACTGCTACACTTAGACCGAGCCGTTGATGCTTTAACGTGGTCAACTAGTAGGTTTGAAGGAGTTGACCGAGAGTCAGACAGCAAAGCCAGTTTGCCAGGAAGACTGATTACTGTAGAGTGATTTCACTGTGACAAACAAGAACGTGATAGCAATAGTACAGTGAACATGTGTTGTGGTTTGCAGCAAGGCTTTGGTATCTGAGCCTCATATCGCAATACATCCGATTTCAGAAAATCCCTCATTTGTAGCCTTTTACAATATGCTTACATTTTTAAAGGGTCACAAATTGGGCACACAGGCTTGTCTTACTTTCGGCCCTTCCAAGCACCCATATTTCATACAACAGTTGTATTGTATCAATAAAGCATCTTATGTTCATATAACAATTTGCATATTGTGAGAAAAAAAAAAACACATACACAAAAGCGTAGGTAGAAAAATGCATGCACCCTTGCACGCGCGCACTCACACACCAACATGCACGCGCCCACTCACTCACTAACACAAACGATCATACACACCCACATACATACACAAACACACGTCCACATACATACATTAATATATAATACATAAACAAACACACATATGCCAAACATGTATACACATACATGCATCCATACGTACATACAGACACACACGTGCAGTAAGAGGCAAACGTACAGACACGCACGCAGACACAAACACACACACAGCCCACAGACATCCATATAAACCAATCAGAAACACACGCACCGACATACCCAGACATTCACACACAGTACACACACAGACACACACACTCACACGCAGACACACATGAAAGAAAGACAGACAAAGGCACACACACACACAGACACACACACTCACACGCAGACACACATGAAAGAAAGACAGACAAAGGCACACACACACACAGACACACATACTCACACGCAGACACACACATGTAGACAGAAAGACAAAGACACACACACAGAGGCACACATACTCTTACACACACAGATACACACAGATACACAAACAGACACACATACTCACACGCGACACACACACACAGATACACACACAGACACACACATACACACATACTCACACGCAGATACACACATGCAGACTGAAACACAAAGACACACACATAGATACACACACACTCACACGCAGACACACACACACACAGATACACATACAGACACACACATGCAGACAGAAACACGCAGACACACACTCAGACACATACAGAGAAATACAGAGAGTCACTGAGCCTATTACAACCCCCCCCCCCCCCCCCCCCCACACGCACACACACATCCCTGTTTTTCCACTTGTTTTCCTTTTCACCCAGTACCCCTGGACTGGGACCCCGAAACCCACACAGACAAAAAAACTGACCCACCAAAATGTCTTCCTTTTCTTCAAAGGAGTCAGAGAGATGTTCAAACTTCAAGCCCACGGCTTTCTATGCTGCCTGTATGCTGCCGCCGCTTGGAGCGCCACCCTAGACACAGATGGAGGAGGACGGCCCGTTAAGAGAGGCTTCTTCTCCTCCCTGAAATGCAAGGTATTTGGGTCCGGATGTGGCCCGTCCGAAGACGATCTCACCTACGGGGTCTTGTTTGATGCGGGCAGTTCCAGTACAAAACTACGAGTCTACAGGTCAGTTTCGATGTTCTCACGTGAAGACAGTTTGAAACGCTGCTTCAAGGTCAACTGTTGTCCATTTTTTTTTCTGATGATAACTTGCGCCAAGTTGCCATTCATAAACCAAAATAGACATATCACCGACGCCATGACAAGCGTAACTCTAACTGTGCTTATTCGTCTCTTTTTCAGCACTGGAGGACATGCATAGTATTTTGTTTCTAAAACAACGATAATCATGTAGAACATATTATATGAATAAAAATGGTTTTTATTAACACGAATTTTTTTTCCAGTGTCTGAAAAATTATAGGAAGCTATTAGACTGAATGCCCCGAGTGCTGTGATGTCAGTTCTTGAATCAAATCAAATTAAACGGCGAAGTAATTACTACTGCACTCAAGTTGTGTTTCGTGGGGCTTCTGATAGTAAGGCTATATCACTGGCTTTGAGCCGGAGGTTCAATCCCTTCTTGATATAACTCCTGAACGAACGCTCCAGACAGAGCACGGCGTATCTGCTCACACTGTCACAACTAACATACCCAAACTTGTTGTAGAATAATGGGAAACAGAATATTGAGGTACGGTCTTCTGTAAAGTCCAGTTTATCTTATGTCCCCAGAGTGACGCCTTCAGAATCGTCCGGTTCTCTGCCCACACTGGCCATCGTCTACAGCCAGCGTTTCGACCCAGGTGTGGACTCATTCGTCAATGATGAGGACGGCTTGAGGGAGTACTTGACCTCAATACTGGACTCTGCCAAAGAGAACGTGCCCGAGAACAAGCAAGAGAGAACTCCCATTTATCTGTTTGCTACTGCCGGTTAGTGGCGTTGTCTTTTTGTGTGCGGATGCAAGCTTTCGTAAATGTTCCATGTGAACATGCCGTCAGAAAGACACTAGGTGTATTGTACCTTTCAAAGTAATTCAGATAGATGGTGTCTTTCTCTGGCAGAGGCGCTGACACTAGAAAGTAAGTAAATGTTACCCCTGCCCCCTCTTCCAGTACATCACACAAAGCGATAATCACCCGGTGACACAAAGTGCCACCATGCGGATGAGGATCACCAGTGGAGAGGTCCCAGAAAACAACGTTCAACCGCCAGGCTATATTGCCGTCCCCGACAAAAGCCAGGGTGGGGCTTCAAAATAACGAAAAAGTGCGTCCCAAATGAGGTAATAGGCGCTGACACCAAGAAATTATCGGGGTAAATGGCTCCCTAATGATTTGCTACTGCCGGATCTCAAACCGATTAAGCCTTGTTAAAGAGTGCAATTGGATTTTTACGGATCTTTTAATAATTAATAATATTATTAATAATGTGCTGCATAGCAAATAATAATAAAAATCAATATATCTGAAATTATGGGATAGATACAAACAAACTCTTGAAAAGGTTACTCTGCACATGTTTAGCGTAACCATTTGTCACCCTTGACAAATTTTTACCTGAAGGATGGGCGCATTCGGCCTCTCTAAAAATGATCGGATGGGGTCTTAGGGCATGTAAACATCTTTCGGGCAGAGAGCTGAAGGTTCTGGTACCGCTGATCTCTACATCGATGAGTTTGGCATTCTGGTCCAGTTAGCGGCAACATTGGAATGCTACTAATTGTCAGTGCAACCCTGTGATGTGGGTACTGATCACATCAACTACTTTGTACTGATCACATCAACTACTTTGTACTGATCACATCAACTACTTTGTACTGATCACATCAACTACTTTGTACTGACCATTATATAAATACGAGGTCTATTCCAAAATCAACCTCATTTTGGCTGGTAAGAAAAAAGTTAGTTTGCTGTAGCCGCACTGTTCATTGCTTACATCATTCAGTAGTCTTTTAGCTTACTACACATCAACCTACAGTCGCAATTGTTCAGTGGTTTACAAATCGCGAGCGAATAAACAGGGATACTGTTATTGCCTTAACCGATAGCTGTGAAATTCGTTTTGTGATGAGTTTTCTTTAAGCAGAACGTCAAAATGCCTCATATATTCTTCATCGATTGTGTCGTGTGTACAGTTATAATGTTATGAGTGACTGCTCAGTGAGGGATTGGTGTAGGAAATTTACAGATGGAAGTAAAGATGTGCACAATAAGGGTGGACAACAACGACTTCATGCGTAGCAATAAGAATAAACTCACAGGGAGCAAGTACAGCGGGGATCTACAGTCATCAGTAGAAATTATCCTCTTTCGACACACGTTTCGGCCCACGATTCCTAAACGTATTCGGAGGTGGGCCCACCTGAGTTCATGAAGCTCAGGGCTGCTTCCCCGCCGCACAGAATTACCGGATGGTGTTATACTTTCGGCCAGAGACAAGACGACTTGGTGGTTTCGAAGGAGGTACTGTGAGATAAGAAGCCGCCACGGCAGCGTAATTAGAGCAGTCCGCATGCCTGGACGACCGAGCGACAAGCTTACTTTGGTTTACCGGACACATCTTGGACTTTTATTAGCAGTTGGCAGAGAGACACTGGCAGACAATTCGTACACGATGGACTTTTCAAAGGGATAAGAAACTCTTTTCCACTAGATACCCGGACCAACTCACCGAGGCCCGTCCCCTACGTTGTTGCGTTGCGTCCACAACCAGCTAGAGGCCCTTTCGGCCACCTCTCCCAGTTTTTTGAGTGCCCGTTTCCGTTCATTACCGCGCAATCCTAACTCTTTAACCACATTGTAGAGCGAAGTGGAAACGAGGCCTCTCGCTCCCACTTCGACGGCAAATACCCGCACTGTGTAAGCCTCGTTTCTCCTCAAACCGGCTGCTAAATCACTGTATTTCTCGAGCTTATACAAATGATTCTCCTCCATCCGCGACTCAAACGGGACCGTCAACTCAATCAGAATGAGTTGCCGTTTTTGCGCAGAATGGAGAACGATGTCCGGTCGCAGGCCGGTTTTACGGATCAACTCGGGATACCGTTCATGTCCTGGCAGATCAACCGCCAGTAACCAGTCCCTCGCAGAGTCTAGCGCAGATGGAGCGAATGCGTTTTGGTTGACCTTACCTTTAGGAACCTGCCCAGCCTTGAGGAAACGAATGGGGACGATACTAGAACTGGCTCTGGCGTTAGCCCTCATTCTAGCCTGGTCGACAACGGCTGCTAACTCCTTTAGCACCTTGTTGTGGCGCCAGGTATAGCGGCCTTGACCTAGAGCTTTCCTGCACGCGGACAGGACGTGCTCAAGAGTTTGCTTTGATTTGCACAACGGGCAAGTCGGATCGTTGGTCGCAGACCATTTAACCATGTTAACACCGGACGGTAATACATCGTACGCCGAACGAACAATAAAGCTCAGTCGCAGCGGGGTCATCCGCCAGATCTCACCCCATGTGAGTATTCTCGGCAATGCGCTCTCCAGGCTGACCCAATGGCCCTGCTGCGACTGTTGGGCTGCTTTCTGGACCCGAACCTCGTTTTCGTTGTCCCTCACCGTTTGTATCACCATGTCTCGGCGCTCTTTGGCTGAGGCCTTTGACCACCAATTGACCTTCCCGTGCCCTAGGCCTCGACGGTCGGTTTGTGTGTAACCCATTACATCCTTCAATTTTAGTGCGTTCTGAGCAGATTCAATTGCATCGAGGACTCTCCACTTCTGACCAGTCTTTAGAGCGGGCTGGACAGCGATGACATTTGGGTCTGAGGACTCACGCAAAAGCATGGCGAGCCTAACTTTGCCGACTTTAAACTCTTCGGTTATCGACTTGAACGGAAGTACCAGCTTAGCCTGTTTGCAATACAGAGCCACGTCGGTCAGACAAGGCGGTGCTCCAATCCACTTTCTTAAGGCTGTATTGATTTTCTTTTCCATGGCTTCAACTGCAGTCATCGTCACCTCGTAGACTAGCAGTGGCCATAGAAGCTTCGGAATCAACATGAATTGGAGACACCATACCTTGAATTTTCTGATCAGCCTGCATCGCTCGATCGCGAGCAGGCCTGTAGCCAGTGACTCGTGTATTCGCCGGACCTCCGCTCTGTCAGATAACTTCGAATCGTAAACGCGACCGAGACTCTTCACCGGTTCCTCCAGAACCGTAGGGATCTTGTTCCTTGCCACCGTAAAACTGGTCGCCGACACCTTGCCCTTATGGATTGACAGACTCCTTGACTTCTGCGGTTTGAACTGCATACCGCTCCATTGGACCACCGCGTCCAATCTTTTCAGGATCGTGCGGGCAGACTCCTCGCTGACCGTTATAATAGTCGTGTCATCCATAAATGCGCGCAGTGGCGGTAACCAGTGATCCCCTATTTGAAGGCCCAGTCCGTAGCCGGCCGCCCCGTCTAACACGATCTGCATTGCCATGACAAACAGTATAGGTGAGATCGTACACCCCATAGCTATCCCAATCTGCAACTCAGTCCACCTCGTGGTAAACGTCGAGGTAGAGAAGCGCAAAGCGAACTTGGAGAAATATTGCTCGACCATTTGACTGATCTGTGTCGGTACGTGAAACATGCGAAGGGCTCGCCACAGTAGCCTATGGGGGACTGCCCCGTAGGCGTTGGCTAAGTCCAACCATATAACGTGCAAATCGGTTCTCTCATGCTTGGCTCTCTGGATAGCCTCCCATATCATGGTCGCGTGTTCAAGGCACCCAGGAACGCCTGGAATACCACCCTTCTGAACACTCGTATCTATGTACTTGTTAGTCATCAGATACTGTGTGAGCCGGCGAGCCATGACTGAGAAGAATATCTTACCCTCAACATTCAACAGCGAGATGGGCCTGAATTGGGAAAGACTCTTCGAGTCCTGCTCTTTGGGAATGTAGACCCCATTTGCCTTTGACCACTCTGGACATATGTGATTGCGGATCCACGCTTGTCTCAACAAGACGTGAAGCATTTTTAGGATTTTTGGGCAACGCTTGTAAAGAACGTACGGGACACCGTTCGGACCTGGGGCAGACTTGCCGCTGGCTTTTTTCACAACGTCCTCAACCTCAGACCAAAGGGGAGGTACCATTTTAAATGGTACCTTCGGCACCGAAGGCTGTTTGAGTCCGCTAAGGATCTCTGGATTGTCATCAAGAGGCTCTCTCCTCTTCTTATCAGAGTACATCTTGCTTAGATGTAGCTCAAGTTCTTTCTGACTGACAACCAGAGTCCCAGACTTCGGTTGCTCGAATAGACCTCGGGCAAACTGATACGGGTCCCTAAAGAATTTCTCTCGCTCCCTTTTGGTTCTACGTCTGTTGTTACAGAAACGCTCGGCTCGACAGAGGGCACTGTGTTTGTTCTTTAAGTGCACCCACACTTCATACAGCCCGTCCCGTTCGCTGCCCGTAGCGGCTTTGAACCGTTTTCTGAGGGCATTCTTGTCTGCCCGAAACTTCAGAATGTCCCTCTGCCTTCTGCTAATATTCTGCTTGGCACCCGGCTGTGCCTTTACTACTGTCCCGAACTCGCGGGAGCAGTGTTCGTATATTACATCACCAAATTTTGTAAGCTTGTCGACTAGCGGCTTCTTGTTTAGAGTTTGTTTAAGTACCTCACATAATGTAACCTCCAACTTACACCACACCACCTTCTCGCTCGCAGGTGGAAACCTGATTCTGGAACGCACTTCTTCAGAGATCATCAAACGTGCTCCTCCGCAGTCGACGTCATGGGCCTCTCCGGGCGAGTGGGGTTCCCCCTGCCCGTCGTTCCCTAACGACTCAGAAACTACCACAGGAGTAGTAGTTTTGCGACGGCGTTTACTGCGTGGAGCACCCTCGCATTTCATTCTTCCGGCATGCGTTCTCAGACCATGCAACCCCGTGAAGCTTTTCCCACATGTACAGAGCCAGCCCGGACGTTGGGCGAGTGTCTCAGTCCGGGGGCTAGCAAGGTCGTCAACGAAGGTATCAATCAGATTGGGCCCTTCATTCTCCCTCCCTTTCGGAGGGCCCTGGGGGCATATTTCATTGTGGTCGTACGAAATCGGAGTTATTATACTGTGTTAGGGGTGATCAACCCGGTCCACAGTCGACATCTGTCTCCAGATGTCAGTTTATCCCAGATTAGATCATTCAAAAAGTCGACCAAAAAGTCGACCGAGTGGTAGTGGAAAAGCGCTGTTTCAGGATTTCAGATCTTTCTACAGAAATTCCACAAATTTCTACGACAAGCTAAGAGATCTGATCGGAAATAACTGAAATTGTGAACTGAGCATTTCCACTACAACTTGGTCGCCTTTTAAAATTACTTAACCTGTCAAGCATACATGTCGTCCTTGTCCACCCTCTTCACGTACACGACTATCGAATGCTGCAACCAATAAACGACGTAGCTACTGCAATTTTTTTCCCCACCCAGCCAGTAGGAGACTGATTTTGGAATAGCCCTCGTATGTGAAGCTGGCACAGTGAACCAAATACATGTACGGAAAATAACTTTTACTTACTCTGATTGGTTAACGTTGCTCTATTCTTCGACAAGTCCATGTTGTGTGATGTTGGTAGTTATCGTTGTCCACAACCTTCCGTCTCGTAATCTTGCAATCATGTCAGACACAGCTGATTCTCCAGACCATGATGTCAGATTGTCTAGTGCCTTTTCTTCTAGTTCCCTTCTGCTTCCATTTTTGCCCTTCTCACGGTGTGAGCAAAGAATATAGGCCGACTCCTTGAGCAATCAGATCTCTTCCTTAGTTAATTTCTTCGACACATCTTCATTACTATTTTGATCTGCCCATAGCTTTCTCGTTATTCCTCTTTAAAAACCCACATGTCTGCTGCTTACACATAGTTTTACATTAAGCTGTTAACTATCGTTGACTTTTGCACATCAAGATTGACTCTGTTTATGAATTCTTTTATTAAAGTCTCTGCTAAAAAGAACACACAGTCATCATCTTCATGACAATCACCATAGCCACCATCAACATCATCATACCTCCATAATCATCATCACCATCAGAATCGTCCTGCCATCCCATGCAGTCTTCCCAGGAGACTCACAGTCTACTTCTTTCTCCCATTCTGTCCTGTGAAATCTTTTCTTTGTCGTTGAAGGAATCTAGCCTCGTACCTTTGGTCTCTCAAACATTGAATGGCTGACATTTCTCTACTCCAGGTATGCGGTTCTTAAGTGCCGACGACGCCACAGCCCTGGTGGACAACATAAAGGAGGTGTTCCAGAACTCCAGCTTAAGCCCCTTCCTCTACAAACCTGCGGGTGTGGGCATCTTGTCAGGCGAAGAGGAGGGCGTCTACTCCTGGGTCGCCGCCAACTACCTCCTAGGATTTTTTAACGAAAACAGGTAATTGATGTCACAGGAAAGCACAACAGTGACAGTGGTGTCAACTGAGGCGCTTCGTTAATTGTTTACAGTAGTGACTCTAGTATAGTTTGAAAACCATCTTCATTTATTTTGCAACCAAGGTAGTTGGGATGGTATAGTCTCTGAACCATCATGACTTATTTTACAGACAATGTAGTAGAGCTGTGATAAACTAAGAACTATTTTGACTTATTTTCCACTCAAATGAGTGTGCATGTAACAGTTTGAGAACCATTTTGATTTATTTTATAGACAGGGTAGTGTGGCTATTATAGTATGAAATCCGATTTCAATTATTTTACACAGTAATATAGATGTTATAATCTGAGACTTATCTAGATTTATTCCAAATGAGCTGGTGGGAAGTCCAAACTGTTCATGAGGTTAGGACAATAAGTAGGTACCCGCGGAACTGAAAAAAAAAAAGTACAGAAAAGGCAAGGAACCATGACATATTTGTATCAATCAGGCTATGAATATGTGAATAGTGAAATACACAACAACAGCTACAATACATAATTACATAGCCAGATAACGTGTACGAACTACACGTCCTATTCTGAATCAAACAAATGGAATACAATCATCGCATCCAACACCTGTTTATTTTCCTGATCACAAAACTAGCGTGCTTCCTAGGTAACAATACGTTATAAACCAGCACCGTATTCGAACAGACCATGTGCTAATCACTCTAGCTAACTAAGATGAAAGTCCCCCTCCAGTGACCTGCAATCCCAAATTTACCATCCAGGATGCACACTGGAAATCTAGATCTAACACAATCAAACTAGTGAATGTACCGATACAACACGAAACCAGTGAGCCAGTCCGTCTTCCTCAGCTCAGTCTGCCATACCTGAGTCGTGTTGAGAACCGTATGCAGTTCCGCAACGATAGGCGGACTATATATCCTTAGGGTGAATGACCAGGCCAATAAACAAAGAGAGCCTTTTTCTGCTGCGCCAAGCCTCTTACCAAAATTTCGACGCAGTGGACACTTGTGGAGAGTTCTGATCTCTAAAACTGTTTTAGTTCGCAATTGCAGCCAAACTAAAATTATAACAACCAGCTTCGCCAGCCTGTTACACAAAAACAAGGTAGCGTAGATGTTACAAGTTGAGACCTGTCTGGATTTATTCCACAGACCAGACACTGAGGCTGTGGGTGTCCTGGAGATGGGCGGCGGTTCCACACAGATCACTTTCGTCCCCAGAAACCCACTGTACGACGGGGAGTTTCAGGTGAGTCACGTGTTGTACATTGAAGCTATATTGAAGAACAGACTGCCAAATATATTACCTCCTGTATTTACCACTGTTCGGTGTAGAAGGGGGAAGAAATGCGAACTAAGGGTTGGGGGGGGAGGAGTGGGGGATTTGTGAACCTGAGGGTTTAGGACCGCATAGATAGTGCTGTCGCTACGAACTCTGCGGGTCAGTATTTCCTCTGACAGAAAGAACGAAAATTACCCAACCTTACCCAAGATTCTGATCCCGTTTCTTCCACATGAAAGCCGTCTTTACCGTTCGGTCAGCCACTCTTCTAATTGCACAATTTGTTCATTCATCGATTATCTGTTGTGCCATTCCTCCGTAATGAAGGAATAAACTGTTTGATCTATGTGGCATTCAGCCTGTAGAGCTGTACAACCTGAATGCCACATAGATCAAACAGTTTATTCCTCCATTCCGTTAAATCCTGGACAATCAGTTCAATATCATAGATGAAATCTAATCCAGCAGCCTTAGCCTCTTTTATCAACCTTCGTCTTTTTTCAGGCGTCCTTACCTCCTTTACTTCCCATTTTAAGGCCTTTCTGGTGATTCTCTGCTAGTTTCTTCTCATGGTGTGTCAAATGTAGCGCTATCTTTTGTTTTGTGTCTCCTAGCTGTTGAAACTAGTTGTTGCCTAGACATATCTAATTTTTCTTGGCTGGTTTTGAAATCACCCTATCTTATTTTTATAATTGTCCTCAGACATTTGTTTATGAATGTATTTACCTTACAACAGAATGGTTCGATGAAGTTCACCCTAAGTAGAACGCGGGGACTTAACATGCTCATTGCTTGCAGGATATCATTGTACACCCTGTTTGTACAAATGGTTAGAATATCTGATTGATTACATCTTAGTGAATTATAATATATAAAATGTTGATAAGACTAGTCGTTTTATATAGCTCTTAAACTAAGAGCACAACTAAAACGAGATGAATGCTTGTTAGAGATTCCGAAAACAGTCTTACGACAAATCTCTGGACCTATCACAGATGTAAACAGCAGAGATCGGAGAGTGAGAAGCAACAGCGAAATTCATAATCTGTTTAAATCATCAGTGGTCACAGTCATCATGAGAGCTAATAGGTTAAAATGGCTGGGGCATAGTGAGAGAAAGTCAGATGATAGAGAGGTACAAACTGTGTACACAAGAGAGATAAATGGTCGTTGACCACGAGGCAGACCAAGAAGACTATGGAGAGATAATATCCAGAGAGGTAAACGTGCATCAATACTAATGAGCGTTTCGACCAACGCTTTTTAATGAAGTACTAACTACAACACACACTACGACAAGAAAACTCAACGGAAATTATAAATACCTGAAGTCAAAGGAACCAGAAATGTTTAAAATTGCTAATCCTTACGTCCTTTTTAGGACGAAATTTTTTTTTCTCTGAAGCCCCACCCTGGATTTTGCCAGGGACCGCAATATAGGCAGGCCATAAATATGGCCAATTGTCTGAACGCGTTTTCTGGGACCTCTCCACGGTGATCCTCATCCACATGGTGGCACTTTATGTCATCGGGTGTTTGTCGCTTGTGTGATGTCCTAGTGGGGTAGAGAGTCAGTCAGTCAGTCGAGCCAGAAATACATAGTGAGAAAAAAATTAATAAAGTACTGTATTACGAAACAAAAACTATCAATATCACGTTTAAATAATTATTCTGTCAACTATTTGGTTAAACAAACGTTAGTCTCCCCCCCCCCCCCCTACCCCTTAACCCTCCCCCCTTTAAAAAAAGTAGGTCACGTTCTATTCATAAGTTTGTTAGGCTGGTCTACCTTCATGCAGGTTATGGGTGTGCCGCTCTATTGTTTGCTTTCTGGGTTGTCTGGCATTTACGCTTTTATTCCCAGAAAGTGAATGCCTGTGACATAGGTTTTACCACTCTCTAAAGAGGTTTTGTGTTAGACCTAGTTTGTCCATGTTTGTGTAGTGTTAAAAGCGTTGGCGTGCTGAAATATACAACACGCGATATACACAGCATTGCGGGGAAAACCCCGTAACCTTTTGGCAAGAGTACGTGGCTCAAAGTCGACGAATCAGAAGGGAGCTAGACTGAAGGTCGAAAAATCAGAAGTGAGCTAGTGTGTAACACTGTGTAAACGAGAAGACTAACGTTTGTTTTACCAATTCTTTTATACCATTTGTGTGAAATATTTCAGGTGACAGTCAGGGGACGAACGTTCGAACTATACGTGCACAGCTACCTCCAGTTTGGCATCAACGCCATCAATAATTGGGTGGCCCAGATTCTGGCTGAAAGAAATCCTCGTCAACGGTTTGTTCACAACCCGTGCATGCTCAAGGGTAGGTTGGCTTTAAGGGCACACACTTGTTGAGAGAATCCTTGAGTTAGTGTATGTGCCTGATTCCTCAGTTTTGACCAAGTGTTTTGGGCAGTAGGTTGCAATATCTTTCTGTGAGATCAGTGATCATACAAGCTGGTTGTGTTAGCCATTGCGCCAACACGGCAAGCTTTCTCTGACTTCTTCTATTTTTGCCAGTGTATCCCTCCAACTTTGATTTTGCGGCAAAGCACTTACTACACTTCTTCTTGTATTGAAGTCACAGAATGAGTTCTGCCTTTTTTTTTAATGCAGGGAATGCGTTTTTTTTTTTTTTTTAATAATTAATTTCAAGACGCTCGTTTAGTTTCGTTCCCTCGGGGAATGCAATTTTTTTTTTTTAAGCCCCACCCTGGCTTTTTTCCGGGGGCCCTTAAATAGGCAGGCCATAAATATGGCCCAGTCATAAAAATGACCTAATGGCTGAAAGGGGTTTCTGTGACCTCTCCACGGGTGATCCTTTTCTGCGTGGTGGCACTTTGTGTCACCGGGTGTTTATCGCTTGTGTGATGTCCGGGTAGGGTACAACTACCTACCTATCTATTTCAAGACAACTCTGAATGCTATCTGATCGCTCTGTTCTCTCACTTTTTTCACAACAACATATTAGACAAGCTTACACATATTTGCTTGCAGGGTTACTGACCGCCAATGAGTGGATTTAGCTTAAGACACAAATCGAGATCACATCACTCGGGATTTTCCTGTAAGCGCTCCGTCCTTATCGTCAGCAGTCCATGTGAAGTTCTTACTCCTGTGGCACCTGTATCCATCTGATTGTGCGTCCGTCTTGCCTCTGCCTACCTATGATGCATTGTCATGCATCATGCTTTGTTCTTTACAGCTCTTAAGAACTGTCTCTCTCTCATACCCTCCCTCTTTCTCTCTCTCTCTCTCTCTATATATATATATATATATATATATATATATATATATATCACACACACACAAAAACACATACATTTACAACTCCATCAAAGATATATTGCACAGAAAATGTATACAGCTGTGTATTTTCTTTTCCGAAAGTATACAAGTTTTACTCTGCATCAACGGGTGTTACGAGCACGCACAATACTAACTGCCTGAGAGAGAGAGAGAGAGAGCGAGAGAGAGAGAGAGAGAGAGAGAGAGAGAGAGAGAGAGAGAGAGAGAGAGAGAGAGAACGAGAGTTGTTTAACCCTCGATTCCTGATCGTGTTCTGTAGGAGATGAAAAAGAGGTCAAGCTACAGAATGGACTTGAGTTAACCATGGACGGAAGCAGTGACCCCGACCAGTGCAAGGACATACTGACCACTATCCTGAAGCCAGAGACGGGGATTAGGTGTGAACCCAAGCCTTGCGCCATTGGTAAGATGTTTCCAGTCACATTTACTCCTTTTGCCCTAAACAACGCAGTGTGCGTGATTGTGTATTATTCAATCAACATGTTATATGTGTTTTCACATCTTATATTTAGTGAGGAACTCTGAAGAACTCTGAAACATTTGTTTCCTGCAAGGGTTGTATATTTGGCCCCTTTGGTTGTAGTATACCCATGAGTTTCACACTGTCATTTTTAACTCTCTCGGACATTAGCTTGGACCTTGTGGGAATGGAAGTGTCAAATGCATTACAGCTGCAGCTGAGGGTCCGCTGTGGTGTAGTAGAAGCTAGACGCTGGTCTCGGGTCCGAAGGCTGTGGGTTTAAATCCTTATCAAGTGGGATTTTTTTTTTTCAAAATGACCTGGCTTCCAATTCGAGCCAGTCTAGGTGAGGGTACCAGGTAAAGTCATGGGAAGTAAAGGCGGATGTCGTGATGTTGACTATTTCACCTACCCATTGCAGACTGGGTGCACTGGGCGATTAACATCCGGTGACGCAAGGTGCAAGATGTCACGATTCAGATGAGAATCCCTGTGGTTCAAAGCACAATAAACCCGTTCAATGGTAAGGTCATATAGGGATGCTTGACGATTACAAAGTAGCCTGAAGTCCAAACAGAGAAGGGAAGTGTGTAAAAAAGAGATTTACAAAATAACACTGTACATCGTCTGGCGTCTGCCTGGGTAAGAGGAGTTACTTTAACCGCTCTAAACACTCACAGCGTATACCAGCAACAGTCAGCATCTCCAAATAATAGCTTTCAATTGTTATTTAGCAAACAAACAAACAAACGAAGAAAAAATAAGCATCGTGTAAGAGGTCCCGGCTGTCTTTATCTATCTTCTTTTACTCCACCAAGACATCACACAAGCGATAAACACCCGGTGACACAAAGTGCCACCATGTGGATGAGGATTACCCGTGGAGAGGTTCCAGAAACCGCGTTCAGCCATTAGACCATATTTATGGCCGGGCTATATTGCGGCCCCTGGCAAGAGCCAGAGTAGGGCTTCGAATAGGGAATAATTGCATCCCACGAAGGGATGACAAGATTTAAAAGATGTCCCAGCTGGTTAATGTTCTTTGGATATATTCCCTAAGAGTGTCTGGAAGTAAAGGTGCAGACAGACTGGTTAGTACTGGTAGTCTGGTAGTCTTAGTTTCAGCTTCATAGCAAACGGGTCACCACATCTTTGCTCCGCTCCTGTGCCAACGAAAAACACACAGAATGTTTATCACAGTATTAGAATTGCAGTTCATCATTGATGGTAGCAGAAGTCGCCAACAGATCAGCAGTGCATTGAACTCAGAAGCTGGGCGACGAAACTATATCCAGTCTACAAATGGAACAAAAATGCATCGGCCACCGTCCGGCAGAAACAAAAAATTTGCCTCTGTTTCGAACAGTGCCGCTGCCTAACGTCCATTTTGACCGGAAGTTAATACAGCTTGTGTGCAGTAGTACTGCATCAATGGGTGGTGAATTTATGCATGACACAGTGGATGTGGTCAAGGCTCTTTGGGAGCAAGTGAAAGAAACAGAGGCACTCTAGGATCATTGTGAATCAATGGAACAATAGGAAGTGATCAGGGGATGTTTTCGACACTTCACATTCAGAAGAAAGGTGGGGGGGAAAAACATTATTCCAACTACTACTGGCAGCATCGGAAGTGGAACTTTTCGCTGGCTGCTGAAGATGAGGACTTAGTGCTTTCTGTGAATGTCAAAAGTGTTATGAGATCATTTCTAAACCTAAAACTAAACGCTAATTATAACAAAAAAATTTGGAAGGACAGCTGAGTAATAATACTACTAGTGTCCAGATTTCTTATAAAGTGGAAATAACCATGAATTACCTACAGTACATGATGGACGTGGAAGGTGTTTGTCTCCCTTTTCAAGATCTTGACAATGAAAACTAACGCATTTGAAGATGTTCGTAAATGTTACAATCGCAATGGTGGTGGTGATAACATCGATTATTCAGTTTATAAAGTGTGCTAGCAATGAAGGAGCTGTTTTTGCCAATTATAGTTAAAATAGGGATGTCGAAGTTATTTTAATGACGTTGTTGTTGAAGATGAGGCTGAAGTTGATTGAGAATGGAGTTATGGAAGATTGCATTGGTAAAATTTAGTCAATAATTGCTCCATTCTGGTAGCAGCGGAAATCATACAAATATGTTTTCTTGTGACTTCTTTTCTTTTACGCTGTGGTTGACAGGCGAGGTTGTGGTGTGCAACTAGGCTTCGACATCTGCGCCTTTACCTCCAAACATCTGATTTCGGCAAACATCTAATTAGTCACTTTATACGACATGCTTATAGGAGGGTTGTGAAACAGTTATCTCCCTCTATACACCCCAAACTGACTGAGCTCCGAAACTCCCCTCCCCCCCCCCCACCCCCACCCCAGCGACTTTTGACAACGATTATGATTATTATTTCAACTTATTCTTTACTAACTGTCAAAGACCTTATGTCTGCCGAAACGACAAATGGCTCGTTTTGTGGGCTCGTGACAGATACATCTACCCTACACAAACCCAGACACCTACAGAGCACACAAGAATCTTGAATGTACAGAACAATGTAACAGATGGCAGTTAGCCCCAGAACTAGTGGGTTCCTCAATCCGTACCAAAGGATTTTTGGGGCTTTACAAATCACCTATCACTCCTATCATGTTCCCATAGATAGTACTGGGTCCAAACACACGCCGTTTCCATAAAGCTCTTTTCTACGCCACTGAACTAAATCCTAGGATAGCGGAGCGTCTGCCAAGTGCGGGGCAAGGTGAACGAGAAAGATCGAATTACAAAAACCGATACAAACCAATCTTAGCTTTCAGACTGACAATAATACCTAATTAACTAGCTACCATCGTAACAAGCTACAGACCAAATCTATTATTGTGGCACATAGTATACCACAAGAGTATGCTACTGTCAAAGACACATTGTAATACAGACTATCGGTCACTGTAGTTTAAACATAACACATTAACAAATATTAAAATTTAACAACCGAACTGTAACTACGTCTCTACGGTCGCATGTCCTGGACACAACCCTCCCGATTTCTGTCTGCTGGTTTGATTGCTCTCATCAGTTCAGTCGAGCGTTCTTGCGGTACTCGTGACTTCGCAAGCGAAACACTCAGTCGGGCATGATTTCCCACCGTCATCTGTGCAGACATAAAATATTCCCTGTATCATATTATCTGTCCCATACCCACCCTAGCCTCTGACACTAACTCAGCATCTGTTTATTGTCTTAGTGCATCAGATATTATATTTAACCACCTGTCACTAATACAGTTGTTACGGTGATCCATTCTAAACCAACAGTTGCTTTGCATTCTTCTTTCTTGTCGTGTTTATCTTTTAATTAATTCAGACTAAAACAGTTATTAAAATAGTGACTGTTTCAGACACATTGTGTTAAATTAGCAGTCAATTTGCACTGGCAGAAATAATAATGTTTGTTTGTTGTTCGCGTTCACTAACTCTAACCCCCCACACCGCGGGGAAAAAACCTGGTGATTCATTCATATCCAGACTGACTTTGTTCCAGAACCAAGGTCTTGTATATGCACCTCCGTTTACAGATCTGTCTTAATTAGATTCAGAGTATTGGCGTCTTGCCTCTCATGCAGATGCACACTGACTTGGAAGAAACAGCCCTAAATAGTCTTCTTGTTACATACTTGTTAGGTGACAGTAGGGATCGTTTTTTCTTCCAAAAACTGATAAGATGATAAATTATATGAATCTGATTCATTTTTTCAGCATGGCGTTAATAAACAAACCAACTACGTTTGGCAAGCGTAGAGCAGCAGTGAAAGAATTACAGCTCTTAAACCTTCAGCTTGATCAGCAGGGAGATAACGCTAGTAGTTCCAGACGCTGGTATAAATTCTGCTGAAACTGTTGCTGGACTTTGAGATTCTAGCGTTGATCTCGTCGTCGATGTTGACTCGCTGAGATAGGGTACTGCCAAGATTGATGAATCCGTTGACTACATTCAGCCTTTGATCATTTGCGGTGATAGTGGGATCACACTAGTTTTGTTTTTCTTTTCCTTTTTCGAGCCGGTTGATTAAAAAAAAAGTTTTATCAGCGTTGATAGTTAGCCCTAGGTTTGTACAGGCTAAAAAAATCTATTGATGATATGCTGCATAAAGAAGGAGGAGGAGGAGGAAAAGAAGAAGAAGAAGAAGAAAAAGAAGAAGAAGAAGAAGAAGAAGAAGAAGAAGAAGAAGAAGAAGAAGAAGAAGAAGAAGAAAGAAGAAGAGAAGAAGAAGAAGAAAGAAGAAGAAGAAGAAAGAAGAAGAGAAAAGAGAAAAGAAGAAAAAGAAGAAGAAGAAGAAGAGAAGAAGAAGAAGAAGAAGAAGAAGAAGAAGAAGAAGAAGAAGAAGAAGAAGAAGAAGAAGAAGAAGAAGAAGAAGAAGAGAAGAACAAGAAGAACAAGAACAAGAAGAAGAAGAAGAAGAACAAGAAAGAAGAAGAAGAGAAGAAGAAGAAGAAGAAGAAGAAGAAGAAGAAGAAGAAGAAGAAGAAGAAGAAGAAGAAGAAGAAGAAGAAGAAGAAGAAGAAGAAGAAGAAGAAGAAGAAGAAGAAGAAGAAGAAGAACTATGATAATATGGTCAAAAACAACAGTAAGAATTTGTGTCAACACTAGAAGCGTCAGATTTTATATATATATATATATATATATATATATATATATATAGATATATATGTGTGTATGTGTGTGTGTGTGTGTCCTTCCCCAGGCTCTGTCTACCAACCCGACGTGGACGACATCCAGTTCTACGCCACCCAGGGATTCACCTACGCTCCGGCAACACTCAACGCTATCGAGGACGATGAGACACTTAATCTGGAAACTCTGGAAGAGAACGCCTCGAGGCATTGTCGGAGGGTAAGTGGGAACGTTGATCTTAAACTTATTTCTCTGTTCAGTACTTTACATGTGGACTTTCTTTATTTTTTCTTTCATCTCCTTCTTCTTCTTCTTTTCCTTGTTCTTCCTCTACTTCTTCTTCTTCTTCTTCTTCTTCTTCTTCTTCTTCTTCTTCTTCTTCTTCTTCTTCTTCTTCTTCTTCTTCTTCTTCTTCTTCTTCTTCTTCTTCTTCTTCTTCTTCTTCTTCTTCTTCTTCTTCTTCTATTTCTTCTTCTTCTTCTTCTTCTTCCTCTTTTTCTTCTTTTCCTCCTCCTCCTCCTTCTTTATGCAGCATATCATCAATAGATTTTTTTAAGCCTGTACAAACCAAAACTTTTTTTTTTCATCAATCGGCTCGAAAAAGGAAAAGAAAAACAAAACTAGTGTGATCCCACTATCACCGAAAATGATCAGAGGCTGAATGTAGTCAACGGATTCATCAATCTTGGCAGTACCCTATCTCAGAGAGTCAACATCGACGACGAGATCAACGCTAGAATCTCAAAGTCCAGCAGCAGTTTCAGCAGAATTTATACCAGCGTCTGGAACTACTAGTGGTATCTCCCTGCTGATCAAGCTGAAGGTTTAAGAGCTGTAATTCTTTCAGTACTGCTCTATGCTTGCCAAAGGTGGTTTGTGTATTAACGCCATGCTAAAGTATCAGTTTCATATAATTTATCTCAGAAAGCTGCTAAAAATCAAATGGCAAGATAGGATCCCAAATACTGTGGTTCTTGATAGGGCAAACATGCATAGCATCCCCACGATACTGAAGAATTTACAGCTGCGTTGGTCACCTACTCGCATGCCAGACTGTCGTCTCCCAAATAGAGTATTTTATGGCGAGTTCCGGCAAGGGTAGAGGTCCTAGGGAAGACAGAAAAAGCGCTATAAGGACACTCTCAACTCCTTTGGCATCAACACAGCAAACTGGGAGGATGCTGCACAGGACCGTTCTGGGTAGCGTACATCCCTCAGGCATGATACATCAACCAGCACATCAGCGGAGGTTGCGCGGGCAGAGAAACGCAGGCAGACTATAAAGAACCGTATGGCTAATCCCACTTTTACAGCGGCTTCCGCCTGTTTCCTGCACTGCTCAAGAACTTTCCAGGCTCATATTGAACTAATCAGCCAGCTTTGTACTCATTATCATTGATCGTTACTACTTTGGATGAAAGGTGGTCTTCATCACTCGTGATGGACAAACAACAACTTCTTTGACGGTCTTTGGCCGGAATGCTCGGCAGCTTTTCTATTGCCTCCGTTGAGCGTTCTAGTGACATGTTATGCTGTATTTATAACTTGTATGATGGCTACTAAAGTAATTGCGCCTACCTGCAGACTTTGAAGCAGTCAGTTAAAGCTGGCATAAAAAGAGACTTGGGATCGACCACATGCCTCATGGGCGAGTACATTCCCATTCTCTTCACCACCTCTTACAACTTCCCCACTGATACCACCAACATCAAGGCAACCTCCAACATCGGCGACAGCAGCATAGGTAAGTCACGATTAGCAATAGATCATTTAGCAATAGATCATTTAGCAATAGATCATTTAGCAATAGATCATTTAGCAATAGATCATATAGCAATAGATCGTTTAGCAATAGATCATTTAGCAATAGATCATTTAGCAATAGATCATTTAGCAATAGATCATTTAGCAATAGATCATTTAGCAATAGATCATTTAGCAATAGATCATTTAGCAATAGATCATTTAGCAATAGACCATATAGCAATCGATCATTTAGCAATAGATCATATAGCAATAGATCGTTTAGCAATAGATCATATAGCAATATATCATTTAGCAATAGATCACATAGCAATAGATCATTTAGCAATAAATCATAGACACATTGTTACACTACTTTCATCAACAACAAACTGCATTTCTGGTGGCAACTGCTGGTTTTGACGTCTCTAGAAACTGCCATATAGCATTTGCAGTGTGAGGATATTTCTGTAATGTTCTGGGACTCATTGTTTGTTTACAAGTTTTTCAAATGAGACAGTGAGGGGCATTTTATTTGATTTTCACTGGCCCAGGCAAGTCTGGGAAAACCCGATTACAGTGAAGTTGAAACCACGTCAAAGACTATGAATATGGAAAAAGACACACATTACTGCAACTTGTATCACGAGGTGTGTTATATGTGTGAAGCCAGCACTCACACTGTCCTTGTATTTCGGGTGACGTATGTGTAGCATGACACACTGACTTGTCCGTATTGACGTTAGGCGTCGAAACGTGGGGGAAAGGGTGAGAGGGTCTTAGACTTGTTGAAGATGTATAATAATAAATAATAATAATAATAATAGAATGAATGAATGGCAAAGAAATATAAAAATAAATATGAAATGAGATCGAGGATGATTATTGTCATCATCATCATTACTATTATTATTGCAACACTCAAACAAGGCTGGGGTCGCTTTAGTCACTTAGAAATGTGTAAATAAGCTAATACCCACCCCCCCCAACCCCCCCCCCCCCCCCCCCCACCACTTTTTCCCTTGTGCTTTCATTGTGTCTGCGCCCCAGTTCCGGTCTCATATTCTGATTACAAAAGAAAAACTGGTGCAGGGTTAGTACGTTTGTTCGATGATCCTGCGTTCAACCTTGCCAACCCCTTCCCCCCCCCCCCCCCGCCCCACAAAAACAATACAAGCAGGAAGAAGCATACACGCCACCCACACCAACCCCACACCCAGCAGCACAAGCAGGAAGAAGCCTCCCCCCCCCCCACCCCCCCACACACACCCAGCAGTACAAGCAGTAAGAAGCATACACGTACACCCAGCAGTATAAGCAGGAAGAGAGCATACACCCACACACCAACCCCACCCCAGCAGCACGAGCAGGAAGAAGCATACACGCCCCCACACCAACCCCACACCCAGCAGCACAAGCAGGAAGAAGCATACACGCCCCCCACACCAACCCCACACCCAGCAGTAGAAGCAGGAAGAAGCATACACGCCCCCCACACCAACCCCACACCCAGCAGCACGAGCAGGAAGAAGCATACACGCCCCCCACACCAACCCCACACCCAGCAGTACAAGCAGGAAGAAGCATACACGCCCCCCACACCAACCCCACACCCAGCAGTACAAGCAGGAAGAAGCATACACGCCCCCCACACCAACCCACACACCAGCTGCACGAGCAGGAAGAAGCATACACGCCCCCACACCAACCCCACACCCAGCAGCACGAGCAGGAAGAAGCATACACGCCCCCACACCAAACCCCACACCCAGCAGCACAAGCAGAAGAAGCATACACGCCCCCCACACCAACCCCACACCCAGCCCCACGAGCAGGAAGAAGCATACACGCTCCCACCCCCACCCACACCCAGCAGTACAAGCAGGAAGAAGCATACACGCCCCCACACCAACCCCACACCCAGCAGCACGAGCAGGAAGAAGCATACACGCCCCCACACCAACCCCACACCCAGCAGCACGAGCAGGAAGAAGCATACACGCCCCCACACCAACCCTACACCCAGCAGCACAAGCAGGAAGAAGCATACACGCCCCCACACCAACCCTACACCCAGCAGCACAAGCAGGAAGAAGCATACACGCCCCCCACACCAACCCCACACCCATCAGCACAAGCAGGAAGAAGCATACACGCTCCCCACACCAACCCCACACCCAGCAGCACGAGCAGGAAGAAGCATACATGGAGTTGATCAAATCAAGGCTGATGGGATCAAGCTGGTGGGGAATCACCTATGCCTGATGTTAACACTATTGCGCGTCCTGGACATGAAGCCTGGTCAATCACATCTACGCCATGGTCGATGTGAGAATAGCAGGTGTTACAATCAACTGTTCACGGGAACTTCCTACCGATTATCGGCTGTAAACTCCGACGGAACGTGTTCGTCATTCGTCTACTCCTGGACTTTCGTCTTGATTTCATCGCCGTTGTAAAGATCTGGCTTGTTGTTATGCACAGTGTTGGTTTTTTGTCTCTCAGGCAAATGCACTCCAACTTTGAAAGTAATACTCTAATTAGTCGCTCTTCTACGACATGCTTGTTAGAGGGTAGATGGTCAGTTCTTTGTTTTCCCAAATTGAGCCCCGCAACAAACGAGGAGTTCATTGGCTACAGTCAGCAAAGACATCTTGCCATGGCTGCTGCTTTGGAGATTACAGTCGGCAGGGAATGGTTCAGTGTGTAGTGATGGAGGCTGTGATTCCATAGAATGACAGAGGGTCATTTTTTAAAAAATTAATCAGCAACAACAACGACGACAACAACAACAGTTATAAAACCCCTGTGTGGGTTCCGGGGCTCTATTATAGGGAAAACAAGAACAGACCCACTGCCTACCCAAAAGCATGTCGTAAGAGTCGACTAATTGGGAGCTTTCTTCGAAGTCAGAGTGCATCTGCCTGAGAGGCATGAAACCAAAGGTCTGCACACAAATGTGACAGACCTATCAAACGGATGCACACGCAGTACTCAGGTTCTGGAGCAGGACTGCAGGCCAGAAGTGGACGAACAACCAGAACTTTCCACTAGAGTTTACAGCTGGTGAACGCAAAGAAGAAGAAGAAGAACAGTTACAAAATTTGTGAAATATTCTTCTGTTTTCTACTTATTGTAGACTGGGGTCTGGGAGCCATGGTGATTGAACTAACAGGAAACCAAGTCCGTCGACGACGACGCTGAACAACGGAAATGACACATCATCATAAAATATAACCCAATCACTACTGTAAATGTGTTACATTATAACAGTATCTTTTACATTTAATTTCTTATTTTCTACCAGGAATATTCATAAAGTAATGTTTACATTTTTTTTTTCACAAGTGCTGAAGACAGAAAGATAAAATTATATACACCTAAGGTATGATATACAATTATTGTGTACTCGAAATTGCACTGTATACCGCAAAAAGTACAGTTCCGATAATCCATTTACACGATTTTCAAGATTACAGATTACAAACAGAGAATTGTTACAGAATTCCTTGTTTTCTTATTGGCGGTCAGTTTATGTGAACCTCTTATTTAGAACAATGAACAAGCACATCTAATTCTTTGTTCGGTGGTTGGATGTTACTCCTTAGCAAAGGAAAATAAATGTGGAACTTCTGAATCTGTGCTCAATTTGTTAATTTCTATTTCAATGTAATATTGTAATATTGTATACATTTGTCAACTTGGCCATGTCGATTTGTAAGTGCTGTTGTGCGATTTATGTTAATTTTAAGTGCTGTTGTGTGATTTATGTTGATTTGTAAGTGCTGTTGTGTGATTTATTTGATTTGTATGTGCTGTTGTGTGATTTATGTTGATTTGCAAGTGCTGTTGTGGGATTTATGTTGATTTTTAAGTGCTGTTGTGTGATTTATGTTGATTTGTAAGTGCTGTTGTGTGATTTATGTTGATTTGTAAGTGCTGTTGTGTGATTTATGTTGATTTGTAAGTGCTGTTGTGGGATTTATGTTGATTTGTAAGTGCTCTTGTGTGATTTATGTTGATTTGTAAGTGCTGTTGTGTGATTTATGTTGATTTGTAAGTGCTGTTGTGTGATTTATGTTGACTATTGATTAGAGTACTTTTTGTGTTTCACGCTGTTTTCTTACGAACTTGTGTCGTTGTCTATTGCAAACCTCTTGTCTGCATTGTTCCTAATCATTGAGACAGCTTCTCAACATTAGATGTTTAAATTGTCCATTATTGTCACCTGATCATGTTAGCTGTGCTTTTAAAAGCCGAAAAAAACATTTGGAACTTAAAATTTTACAGTTTTAAAACCAATTTATGCTTTTTCTTTAAATCGTAATGTTATTTCAGTTTTGAAATTTGATGCAAAAGTTAGAGAACTATTAAAAATATTGAATGAAATTTAAACGCATTCGGAAATAAATTACCTGGGAAATCGATGAGCATATAATCTGACGAATTCAAGATAAGTGGAGAAACACAGAAGGAAACAAATCAGGACATCTGCTGGCATAACACGAATAAGATGACAATATCTTGGACATATCAAGTTGATGCTAAGAAAAACACAATCTCTGAAATTAACAGAAACAGACTGAAAAAACGAGGAGGTTCGAGAGAAGGCCACTAGATGAATGGTGATGAGAGAAGGCCTTTAGACCAACGGTGATGAGAGAAGGCCATTAGATGAACGATGATGAGAGAAGGTCTTTAGACGAATGGTGATGAGAGAAGGCCATTGGATGAACGGTGGTGAGAGAAGGCCATTAGACGAAAGGTGATGAGAGAAGGCCATTAGACGAACGGTGATGAGAGAAGGCCATTAGACGAACGGTGATGAGAGAAGGCCATTAGATGAACGGTGAGAAGAGGTCTTTAGACCAACGGTGATGAGAGAAGCCCATTAGATGAACGGTGATGAGAGAAGGTCCTTAGATAAACGGTGATGAGAGAAGGCCTTTAGGCGAACGGTGATGAGAGAAGGCCTTTAGACTAACGGTGAGGAGAGAAGATCTTTAGACGAATGGTGATGAGAGAAGGCCCTAAATTGAACGTCGATGAGAGAAGGCCCTTACACGAAGGGTGAAACGAGAAGGTCCTTAGATGAACGGTGCTGAGAGAAGGTCCTTAGACCAACGGTGATGAGAGAAGGCCATTAGACCAACGGTGATGAGAGAAAGTCCTTAGACCAACAGTTTTAAGAGAAGGTCCTTAGACCAACGTGATGATAGAAGGTCCTTAGACCAACCCTGATGAGAGCCCCTTAGACCAACGGTGATGAGAGAAGGTTCTTAGACCAACGGTGAGCAGAGAAGGTCCTTAGACCAACGGTGATGAGAGAAGGTCCTTAGACCAACGGTGATGAGAGAAGGTGCTTAGAACAACGGTGATAAGAGAAGGTCGTTAGACCTTAGTTGATGAGAGAAGGTCCTTAGACCAACGGTGATGAGAGAAGGTTTTTAGACCAACGGTGATGAGAGGCCCTTAGACTAACGGTGATGAGAGGCCCTTAGACCAACGGTGATGAGAGAAGGTCCTTAGACCAACGGTGATGAGAGAAGGTCCTTAGACCAACGGTGATGAGAGGCCTTTAAACCAACGGTGATGAGAGAAGGTCCTCAGACCAACGGTGATGAGAGAAGGTCCTTAGACCAACGGTGATGAGAGAAGACCATGAGACCAGCGGTGATGAGAAAAGGTTTTTAGATAGACGGTGATGAAAGAAGGCCGTTAAACCAACGGTGATGAGAGATGGTCCTTAGACCAACGGTGATGAGAGAAGGTCTTTAGATTGACGGTGATGAGAGGCCCCTGGACCAACGGTGATGAGAGAAGGTCCTTAGACCAACGGTGATGAGAGAAGGTCCTTAGCCCAACGGTGATGAGAGAAGGTCCTTAGAACAACGGTGATGAGAGAAGGTCGTTAGACCTAAGGTGATGAGAGAAGGTCCTTAGATCAACGGTGATGAGAGGCCCTTAGACTAACGGTGTTGAGAGGCCCTTAGACCAACGGTGATGAAAGAAGGTTTTTAGACCAACGATGATGAGAGGCCCTTAGACCTACGGTGATGAGTGAAAGTAATTAGTCCAACAGTGATGAGAGAAGGTCCTCAGACCAACGGTGATGAGAGAAGGTCCTTTGACCAACGGTGATGAGAGAAGGCCATTAGACCAACGGTGATGAGAAAAGGCTTTTAGATAGACGGTGATGAAAGAAGGCCGTTAGACCAATGGTGATGAGAGATGGTCCTTAGACCAACGATGATGAGAGAAGGTCTTTAGATTGACGGTGATGAGAGAATGTCATTAAACCGACGTTGATGAGTGAAGGCCATTAGACCAACGGTGATAAGAGAAGGTCATTAGACTAACGGTGATAAGAGAAGGCCATTAGACCAACGGTGATGAGAGAATGCCATTAGACTAACGGTGATGAGAGAAGGTGTTTAGACGAACGGTGATAAGAGAATGCTATTAGATGAACAGTGATGAGAGAAGGTCTTTAGACGAATGGTGATGAGAGAAGGCCCTAAGTTGAACGTCGATGAGAGAAGGCCCTTACACGAAGGGTAAAACGAGAAGGTCCTTAGATGAACGGTGCTGAGAGAAGGTCCTTAGACCAACGGTGATGAGAGAAGGCCATTAGACCAACGGTGATGAGAGAAAGTCCTTAGACCAACAGTTTTGAGAGAAGGTCCTTAGACCAACGTGATGAGAGAAGGTCCTTAGACCAACGGTGATGAGAGAAGGTCCTTAGACCAACGGTGATGATAGAAGGTCCTTAGACCGTCGGTGATGAGAGAAGGTCTTCAGACCAACGGTGATAAGGAGAAGGTCCTTAGACCAACAATGAGGAGAGGCCCTTAGACCAACGGTGATGAGAGGCCCTTAGACCAACGATGATGAGAGAAGTCCCTTAGACCAACAGTGATGAGAGGCCATTAGACCAACGGGGATGAGAGAAGGTCCTTAGACCAACGGTGATGAGAGAAGGTCCTTAGACCAACGGTGATAAAAAAAGGTCCTTAGACGAACGGTGATGAGAGAAGGTCCTTAGACCAACTGTAATTAAAAAAAAAGGTCTTTAGACCAACGGTGATGAGAGAAAGTCCTTAGACCAACGGTGATGACAGAAGGTCCTAAGACCAATGGTGATGAGAGAAGGTCCTAAGACCAATGGTGATGAGAGAAGGTCCTAAGACCAATGGTGATGAGAGAAGGTCCTAAGACCAATAGTGATGAGAGAAGGTCCTAAGACCAATGGTGATGAGAGAAGGTCCTAAGACCAACGGTGATGACAGAAGGTCCTAAGACCAATGGTGATGAGAGAAGACATAGGCGATGGACCAGATTCCACTCGGGCTGTCGAGGGAATTTCACGGGATAGAACAGAATGGGAGACTTGGGTTCAAGCCATGTGTGACGTAGAAGGCAAAACAGGATGATTATTATGTTTCTGTTCACTGTAGTTTAACATCAGGAGACTACTTTCAACAGCAAATGTCTAATACATCCTCGGCATTGTATTTCACCTGTAGCTTTACTCTCGCATTTTAATCATTGGAACATTAAAGACACAAGCACTGGATATTTTAGTCACTAACAAATAGGAATATTAATGTATAGTTAATTCGCATAAGGTGATTCTCCATCTTCGATCTCACAAACAACTGAAGCCACGTATTGAAGAAACATACATATTTCTAATTTAGTTTCCAACGCTGAAAATGGAGGCTGTATAAATGGAAAACTCATCCCTTAATTTCATGTAAAGATTATGCAGCCCTACACAAATACAGTCGAATGTGTGTGTTGTCCATCAAGATGATGGTGACCACTCTTTTTCATCAAGTATGAGAACAAAGATGGCTGATGAGGCCGATGTGGGCCTGAAAAGTTCTTGGACAGTGAGGACCGGGAATGAGTGTTGTGCCAGGGAGGAGATCTCCTGCAGTCGCCTTTCTGTACATCCTTTTCTTAATAAGTCTTGCTGTTCTGTTTGCTTCACATGTGGCCGCGCCCTTGTGTAGAGCTGCACGCCATGCATTTCGGTCTTGAGAGGCAGCCTCCCAATTGGTGTCATTCATCCCAAATGCTTTGAGTGAAGTCTTTAAAGCGTTTTTTTTTTTACCCACCTTGGGAACGTTTCCCATTTTGCAGCTCACCATAGAAGAATTTTTTTGGGGAGGCTGTGATCTGTCATGATTGCCACATGA